TTCATCCTTTCTTCAAAAGCCCTCTTTAAATTCGCAGGTGCCTCGGGTGTTGCCGCACGTAGGAATAACGTGTCGTACCTTTGAATAAAGTCGTCGGCTTGTTGTCTCCACGGCTTCAATTTATAAATGTTGTCTAGTCGCAATGTGGCGAGCATTGCTTCATTGAAGCGGTTTGAGTCAGCAAGTTGCTGCTCGACACTCCTTTCATTTCCCTGCATTCGCGAAAAGAACGATCTCTATCGAATCAAAAACGAAACAACCGAAGCAAACACTTAGACTATCCGTTTGTGTAAAAATACAGAAAACAAGAGAGAAGAGATAGACAATAGCGTTGCAATAAGTTACATGCGATAATATGTGCTTGAGCTTGCAGAGTTTATACATTAAACAAACAAATATCTCACAACATAATAACTTTTAACCGTTTCATATTTCACCCTCAAAATTCACATCACCCTATAACACCAAAACAATTCCCCTCTGACACTCTTGTTCCCATGAGCCACGCTCGCGGGAAAGCCCACGACAGCCCCTCGAGCCGCGCATCCCAGTGCCATATCCACGTTCCAAAGACCCCACGGGCAACACCACCCAACGCCAAATGCGGCGCAAACACGCATAATGCAAGATGAACGGCGCGCGCCCCTCCCCGCGATATCATGAGGGGTGCGTGCTCCCATTCGCCCCCTGCTGCCAAAACCTCCCCTGAATCCTTGAATAATAACGCTCCCCATCCGTACATGGAGGCGTCTGTGACGAGTGTTGCCGTGGAGGACAACTGTTGTGGAGGATGAACCGGCTCATTCGTTATTAATGTTTGGAGTCAACTGTGTCCGATGTCCTTTGCCGTTGAGGATAAATTTGCCTTGTCTTGTGGCCGTATTAAACCTCGATTTAAACGTGACAAACGTCGACGTACAATTTTTAAGAAAATACAATGGGGGAAAAGGGATTCACCCCTTACCCCACCTGCGTACATCATACGCGAAACCGTACTCTCCAATTCTTCGACTGTCGTTTTGTCGAGAGAAGGTGCCTGTTGTAACCGCTTTATTGTTTTCTTGCTTGAAGACACCGTGTGGTTTTTGTGATTGAAATGTACCCCGATGAAATCATACTCCTTTGTTTTGAGCTTCTGCTCTCCGATGGTAGCACCGCAGTGTTGCATGTTGTGCAAGATTTGCTTTCCCCAAGCTTCCACCTTTTCGTGTAGGCGACTGATTCTGATGTTATCAATCCAAACATGTATGTGTAACTCTTGTGGTGCTGCATATTGTGGCAATACCAATTCCGGATCACCAGCCAAAACTCTTGTAATGGTATTTAAAATCTCTGGGCCGCATTTATAGCCCATAGGAAGGCGAGTGAACTCAACGAGTTCCCCTGATTCCGTTCGGCAACGAAAGCTTGCGCGTATGTTAACCGGTAGAGCTACCTGGAAGAAGGATACTTTTAGGTCAAAAAGCGTTGCGGTTTCATCGTAAACTGCATCCAGGTATCGGGAAATGTGTCCTAGAGGAACATCGGCCTCGTAGTCATCCTGGGCATTCTTTTCTCTTGGCAAAGCAATGAAACACCTTCTCTGCCTGGACGGTTTATCCTCCACCACCGTAAAAGGTACCACCCAACCTGCGGTTGGGTGCGATGAAGCTGTGCTAATAGCGCCTGCTTCCTTCATACGCTGCGCATTGGCGTTGTTAATTCGTAAATTGGATTCCCTCCTTCTGGTGTGAAGTTCGGGCTTCTGCATAATCCGCCACACCTCGTCCCAACGCCTCCTGGCACTATTATTCAGGCGTCCTCTAATCCATTCGGTGGACGGTGTGCCGACGTCTATCTGTTACAACGGTAATCGTGCTTCGTCTTCTTTCGTTGCCTCTCCGGTGTGGTGCGATCGTTGCAGTATATTATGCCCTTTGAAGGGAGCGCCAAAATGTTGTGTTGCGGGTTCTGGTGTGTCCCATTTTTCCGCTGCCTATTTTTCCCATTCTCTTACATCAATGATGTCAGGTGTGCTGGCTTGTTTATTGTTGCGGCCCAATGACCCAGATAACGCACCGTGCTGCGTGGGAGTTCCATGGGGTCTGCATGTTTCCCTAACTGTGTTCATAATCGTGGGTCGAGATTGTGTTCGACCACTTCTGCCGCGGCGTGGGCCAATGCTCCTCTCTTTATGGAGTGAGCTGTCATTCCGTAGGGGCGAAGAATATTTTCCATATCTTTTGGCGTTAATGACGTTAACTTTTTCGTCGCTTGTCATTCCTTTTATGGTTTCTCGAACCCGTTGTGCGTCTGCTCCTTGAATTGCCACGTGCCTGGCCGCTCTGTGCGGGTCGCTTTTGAAGGTTTTTGGCAGCGCGCCCCAATCCAATATTATGGCATTGGGATCTTGTTCGTGCGGTACGAAATTTTGTTTTTGGAGTTGTGTTATTTCTCCCCATCGACTCGCTGGAACTCATGCCAGTCTTAAAGCCACTCTTTTTCTTTCCTTTGTAAGAGCATCGCTTGTCATATCCAATTCCCATCTTCACATTGGACGTGCTTGTTTTAACGGGTCCTGCGCTGCCGTTTTTTGCCAACCCATTAAAAACATTTGAGTGGTCGTTCTCCCTGACGCCATCATGCCGATCAGTGTGCGCGTATATTGAATCGCGCTGGTTTTTGCCAATTGCAAACTTACGATAAGTAGCGGAGTATTTTCTTCTGTCGTGTCTAGGTTTTTCTGCACTGTAAACTGTATGAATTTTCGTAGTATGGAACCCCGTTGTTCCCATGTTGTGCGGGTCCACATGCCCTTTTCTATGTGGTTGGCCTCTGATGCCAGCGCCACGATGTACGGATCGTGCGAGCGCGCTGGAATTACCGTAAACTCGTTTTTGGAAATCGTTCCCTGGGGGAGTATTGTCAATGGAAAGATTCCTTGCTGTGGGTGTAGTTGTGTCGCGTGTCCCGGTACATTTCCTGTTATTATGTCTTGCGTCACCGTTCGGACGTCTGATCAAAAGAGTGCCAAAGTGCGGGGTGGAGGTTTCCCAACGTGAAAATGTTCCTTCCGTACATATCCTACTTGCCCTGGCCTCAGTATTCATTGTTTCCAGGGCCGAATATTATTTTTTGTTTTAAAAGCTTCTCTTTGTAATTGTACACGGCACGTCGAGCTGTAATGCCCGATACGACTACATCTGAAACATTTTGTCTTGCTGGGTGGTGGTGCTTAATTTTTTTTTCCGCAACTTAAATGCAACTTGTATGAATGGATCGTCTTTTTGCACAGACTGAGCCATGGTCTCCCTGATGCCGTGCATCTTCACTCCTGGGAAATCCTTTGCCGTTTATATTGCGTTGATCTGTGTGCGTAACTGTCGTCCCAGGTTGACCTTCTGTGGGGTCAGTTCTTCGTTGCGCATGGTGCGGGCCCATTGCGCGAAGTTATTCCATGTATCGTTATAATGCAAACCGGGATTTGATGGAGCAGGAAAAAATTCCCTGTATGCATCCAACGATTGGTTGGGTGATATCTGCAGCAAATGATTCATTACACCTGCAAAAGTTCGGATACGCTCTTCAGGTCTTACTTGCTCAATCCAGAGTGGTTGGCTTAGTTCCCGTGTTCCCCAGGGGAGCCTCCGCGGGGCACTCACCCCCGTATCGGAAACAAACTATTCCGTTCTACATGCCTTATACGTTACATTAGTGTATTGTTTACGGGGAATCTGTACTGCGGTACTGTGAATTTCATCAGAACCATTCTGTTGTCCTTGGCGTTGTGATTGTTCGATCGCCACCGCTAGTTGCGACTGTGTTTCCATCATTTGTGTGTCCTTCTGTTGTAATTGCTCCTGCGGTTGGCCAATATGCGCCTGCAATTCCTCTTGATACGCTTTGCCAGCTTCGGCTTCTTGGCACGTCTGTGCCACTTGCTGTTGCATTTGCTGGGGTTGCATGTTTGCGTCCTGCTGGGCCCGAAAGGTTTGGTCCTGTAACTGGGCACGCATGCCCTCATACTGTTGGTATAATAGTGGCTCTTTCTCCTCCAGTAATGCCCATTCTGCAATGAAACGTGCTCGTGCTTTTTCAAAAGCCTGCAGAAAATCTGGATTCCGCGGCATGTTAAACCTGAGAATGGAGAGGCGCAAGGTATCCCAGTCCATACAGGTATCCTCTCTCCTTTGAGTACCTTGAATGAATCATGTTCTAAGGTTAACATACCCTCGACGATATAACTTAAATGGGAGCGTGAGATGGTCGCATTTCAAATGTAAACGCTGTTGGACCGTTGTGGCACACAAACTCTTTCAATACTTGTGTACTTGTCATCCGCTCTCCTGATAAATAAGAGGGAAGAGTCGGCGTCAACATTTTCCTTCCTTGTAAATTTGCTTTTCAGAAACTTACTGTTAGGCAGACTGTAAAGATAAAAGAAGTAGAATTTGGTTTACCAAGACCCCATCCAAAATTGTTGCTCCATATAGTAAGGCTTTGCCATTTTTTTCGCAAGCTTTCAATAGGAAACCCACCCACACGCTCATCCCCTTCACAAGGTCCCAAAAGAGAAAAAAAAAACCGAAGAAACAAGAAAAGTCAAAGCCCTACCTTCGCCATAAAGAAGAAGAAGGACAGAAAAGGAATAATAATATTTTACTGTCAAAAACCTTGTATTCCAAACATTCACAAATACATCCTCATATATTTCCCCAAGATTTTCACTGAAAACAAAAAAAAAAAAAACTAACGAAATGGAAGTGCTGCGAAGCCCTTTTAACCCACCTCCGTCGTGGCGGTGTGGATTAGGTTGGTTGGGGGTGGGCCTTCAAAAACCTCCATTTCTACACTGTCAGAATAAAAGGAAATAATTTTACGAAACATTTAATCCCATTACAAAAATCGTTTTCATAATAACACTGGGCTTGGTCATTCTTTTCGCAAGCCGTCAACAAAGAAAGACCACATACAGAAAAAAAAAATACTATTTTCAAAGAGTCTATCCCTCATACTAAGACCTTGCCATCATTAAGAGGGACTGCAGGCAGTGTAGCCTCCGTGCTCCTTGGTGTTGTCCCTTCATTCATACGTTCTTCTTCATCTTCCTCTTGAATCTGTCGATTTCGGCGGCAGCAGCAACACCGGCATAGAATGACTATGCTGGCAACGATTGCCACCACTCCGAAGACCAGAAGAATGATTCCTGTTGTTCTGTTCGACGCAGCTACTTTGCGATCGTCGTCGCTTTCGATACGACCCATGAACGCATACAATATGCCAAAGACGAACATGGTAGCACCACCGCCGAGGAGAATAATAACACTCACTGAGACCAAAGCGTTGCGACAGCAGGTAGATAACGCCATGTGTGTGTATGTGTGTGTTTTTTTTACTTTACTTGCAGAATACTATCCTCGTAGACTAAGCTCGACCGAAAAAAAAGACGCAAGAGAACGAAATGAGGACAAGAAATCAAACATCCTTCCCATACCACTCACTGCAGCCGAGAAGGGCACACACCAGCACACGGACTAGCATTTTTCCCTCCTACCCCACTTTATTCTTCCACACTTCCCTCAGTCCCTGAGCATGATATTTCAGGCCTCAAGGTTCAGCACCTCGGGACGTAAAGTGCCCCTCGAGCCTCGCCGAAATGAAACATGCCGATCATGCCAGCCCATGCGTGTTCTCTCGTTTGAATAGGAACGCAAAATGTTTGTGTTGGCGTTGTTTTGTTTTTAGTGTGCCCCGCAAATTCTTCTTCTCCCTTGCGCCAAAAGAGGAAAAAAAGGGAGACCAACTCGCCCACTTCCCTACGGCGCTCCTTCAGAGAAGGAGTTTCGAACAATCAACACACACAGAAACACACATCCTTCTTCTTTTCACCCACCGCAACCCTAATCCTCAAGCGCGCACGGAGTGTGATCACTGTGCGGATCTGGCCTACCAACAAGAAAGGAATCGCGTCTTCCACAGCACCACAACACGCCAGCCCACACATACTTGACGCCATTCTTTCCATTCCCACAGAACTCGAAGGGAAGGGAGAACGACGTCATGCCAACACGATGGTTCTCATCGGAAATTGCATACCACAGACCCATCATTTCTTGTCTCGCGATTCCCTTATCCTACCTCCTCCTTTAAGGGGGGAAATATGTCATCGCTGCCGCGCCCACCGGAACCAATAGAAACCCCATCATCCCCACATTCAAGTGAACTCATGGCAAAAATCACAAAAAGCACAAAAAAGAAAAATAAGCCCAGTATGTCGTGCCAAAACAAAAGAAAAAAAAAAACGTATTCCATAAAGCAAGCAATTAAAAAAAAAAGACCAGCGAATAAGCTTATTACTTTGGTTGGGGTCTTGTAAGCCAATCCAGCCTTGTAACCTTCTTTACAGGACATATCCTTCCAAAGCGGTAATAATTAGTATGACCGGAAGTGTTGTACACCTTCACGAGGGTAGTGGAGAGAGAATGGCGTAGACCGGATACAAATGAATGGGAACCCTTATTCAACTCATGTGCCCATGAAGTGAGTTGCATAAACCTTAACAGGTATCTCTTCCATTGTGTTATGGGCCCCGGTAAATGCAAAATGGCAGGAACAGCATCTACACCCTTGTGTGGTGCAAGGAAAAAGGAATGGTTGTAGTCAAGACTCACCATTCCATATGGTAAACGTAACCTTTTAGAAACCCGAGGGTTCTGCCATATGCTCCAGACATACACAAACGACCAGATTGTGTTGTCACACCACCATTTTCTCTTCTCGACCATGGACATGACGTTATAGTAGACAGGCGTTGCAGCACGAAGTGCCCATACTCGCGCCACAAAACCCCCAGCACTCAGATAACGGTACGTAGTTTCAGGGCCACGCACAAGACGCTGATTGAGATACGCATTTGCAGACCTCCACATCTGGTCATAATTAGAACCACAATGAATATAGCTATCATTTGATCCCCTGGGTATCAATAATTTTATCTGCGGCATGAAGCACAGTGCATCACATGTAAAGAGCATTGGTGCGGTAGCCTCACCGCGCCGGACTGCTGTAGGATTAAAGGAGGCAGCAGTTGGCGCCGTTGTGGCAATAAAGTGTGCGAGTGACTGCTGTATTCTCTCTGGGC